TTGAAATCGAGGCTGCAGGGGGTGACGACGCTCCTTCTCTTGAATTTCTTTGATGGGCGCTTATTTCGAAAACACCCGGGCAGGGATGGAAAAGACATTTGCTCATACCGAGCCCGCGGAGCGGAAATCATGGCGGGACACCAGCAGGGGAAGCCACCATATACACAAGAACCACACGCACGACGTGGGGGGAAGCAGTTGGTGATTCAATGTGTTTGTGTTTTATGTCTCTCGGCAAACTGTTGTGGCTCCAGGTTGAGTGCCCATCGCGTCTTGCACGTTTTCTCATGTCGCAGTTGGCGCCAATGTAGGACAAGCAGCGTGTAGGGTCAGCGACGGACGATTCCCACGGGATCGGCTGACCGGGTTCACCTGCTGGTGTCTGGGGGTCTGGGGCATTTTAGACAGGTTGAATTTGGAAAGCTACAGTTTACCTTCGGAGTTGATCACTCGATGTTCGGTGTTTGGATGGATGTTACTAGTGATTCGCCAGTGTTGGTAATTCGGTGTGTTGTCGTGCTCTTCTACTGTTTTGCATACACCGTTGTGCTTGTGTGATCTACTGGTTGTGTCGGACAGTGTTGATATCATTTCTACCGTTGCCATGCTTATTAGCTGTCACGCCATTCTGACAGACCCGCGCGCATTTCCCTTCCGAAACGGGTCCTGAGTGAAATGTGTCCTGAGGTTATTCCGCATTTTCTGGCTCTCGGGTCCCTCCACAGTCCCCGAGACTGTCAGAAATCGATGCAGGATGAAGATCTCGTCTTCGGGGAAGGCTCCAGGTTTCAGGACCCGTTTCCCTCAGGACTCGTTTTCCCCATGCCACATGCGAGAGTTGTTTCAGCTGGATGTTTATTTACGGGGGTGCAAATCCAGGGAGGTCCAATTCTAGACGCTTCGCGTAACCCCACCGGTGACCCATCCCATCCATCATGCAGGTTTGCGACGTTCCTCGGCAGCTCAGCTCTTCTTGCTCGCACACGCCTTTGGGACGGCCCTGGGCCTGGCGCCCCACTGGCGACACGCTCATCGTTCACCCCGCCTGAACGCCCACCTGGCATGATGGACGCGCAGACATCGGCGCACTCGCCCTCGCGCCGTCTGAGTGGGTTATGCCTCACGGCACACTCCGAATTCCCTGGCATTTTGCTAGGCTGCATGTGCCTGAGCTTCCCTGGACGCCCTCAGCCTGCCAGCTTTCCCGCGCAGCCCCGCGGCTGCTTGGTGAGTGGGCCGGCCAGCCTGCGGCGCGTTTAGTAGCTAATTAGGCCGTCACCGTGTCCCGGAACGTTTCTGACTCCGCTTGCGCTCTCGCTGGCGGACGCGACCGAAAAAAGTAACCCCACCGGCCCATCCAGAAACGATGCCCAGACGAGTTGCTTTGATCAAGCATGTGTAGTATAATGACGTTGAAAAAGGGCTGGGTAAGACGTCGTACCCCAAGAGGGGGGGGATGGATGAGGAATCGAAGGAGGAGCAAGTGGAGGAGGAGGAGGAGGAGGAGGAGGAGGAGGAGTGAGAGCGGGAGGCGGAGCAGGGACGAGGACGGAGGAGGAACAGGCGGATGAGGAAGATGAGGAGGATGAGGAGGGCGAGCAGAAAGGCCAGAGGCTTCTTGGATGCCTCTCGCAGTCTCTTCGGATTTCTTTCGAGAATTTCTTGGAGTCGTCTAGGGGCGTCTTGGGGGTCTCTTGGCAGTCTTTCACCCCCAGGAGGTCTCGATGATCAATTGTTTGGGCTACCTCGCCGAAGCCATTGGACGCTGCAACGACCCGCGAAACGCCCCCTCCAGACCCAGGGGGAGGGGGGAGGGGGAGGAGTCAAGACACCCTCCCCGCCCGCAAGCCGTCTCGCTCACTCCCACCAGCCCTCCCAACACATGTGTAGCCTCCGAGCCGCAGCGCGTTGAGCGGTAGCCTTTGGATGGGCAGCTAATGGGAGCCAGGACTGACCTTATGTGCTCCACGTGCGCCAGGTGCGCCAGGCACCCCTGCGGCCGAAGAGTTGCGGGCACGCCTGGTGCACCAGATGCGCCACGTGATCCACTTGCGCCGTGTGTGCCGCATGCGCTTGCCGCGTCAGGGGCGCCACGTTCGGGGCACGCGCAGAGTGTGCCGGGTGCGCCTGCGCACGTGGCATTGCACATCGGGAAATGTGTCGGCCCCCATCACTCTTGTCGAAACCAATGCGCAATTGCGGCGCGGTGGCCATTATAGCGTCTGTTGGGCCTGCACATGGCAGGCAACATGCCAGCACCTCCGCCGCCCCAGTCCAAATCCAGTGCACAGTGATCGCGTGGTGCCCGTGCATGATCCAGATTTCGTCTCGAAGTGCATGTTGCATGTTTTTGTTGAAAGGGATGCTGGCCCTGCGCGCAGCAGGCAATATTCGCCCCCCCCCCCCGTCCTTGTCAACACACAATGAAAATTGCTCGCGCCCTCCCCGATAATGACCCAAGATCTTGCCCCAAAGTAAATGTTATATGGTTTTTGACAGGGATGGTGGATGGGGGTGCCCTCATTGGTCCTGGTTGGCTGCCGGTCTCACTAGTAGGGAACAGTAATGAGCCCGTCCCCTGAGTAGAAGAAGGGGGGTTTGAAAGGAAAAACGTTTGAAAGCATTCACACCCTAGGGCTGGTGGGATTTAGCACAGGCGCAGGTATATCGGTGGCCGAGAACCAGTATAATCCAGCACACTCCCGTGTAATTCCGCCTACTTGCGCTTAGCCTGGCTCAATCTGGCATAATGCTGGGCTCAGTCTGGGCTCATCCGTGTCAATGGCCTCTCAATCGGGCTTCGTACTTTTCCTTCGTTCTTACGTAGATATCCTACAAGTTGCCGCGTAATTCCGATCGTGCGAAACTTGAGACGGGGCTCACTTCCGTACCCCACCTTTCGCGAAAGTGTATCGTTTGTCCGCCGTGCGCACCAATATTATATTCTGCATCAAGGGGTCATACACGGGATCCATGTTGTAGCAGCTTGGGTGAGGCTCAACACCGGCGCGTTTTTTGTGACGGTTCGATGCCCTCTGCTGGTTCTACATCACTTGCTGGAGTTTTTTGCTCGGTTGCGAAGTTGTTCGCCTCCTGTTCGCTTACTGCGTGAACCGCTTACGTCGAAGCATCTGCAGATGCATACGCGCTGTTCTGGGAAATCCGCTCGGGCCGTCGAAAGTTCATGCTTATGCAATTGGTCATTGCCTCTAAGAATCGGCGGCGAGCGAGGGGGGAAATGAGAAGGAGAAGGCCTTCTCAGAAGGCGGCGGGACTTCTCAGAAGCCCTCGCGCCTTCTGAGTAGTTGTTGTTGGTCTTCAAGGAAGGCTCAGAGAACTGTTCGCAGCAGGCCGAGGAACTTCCGAACCTTCCGAGCAGGCCTTCTCCTTCTCTCTTTTCCTCCCCTCGCTCGCCGCCGGAAGAGGGAACGTAGACCTCACGTTGCGCAGAATGCTGGTCTTTCTTTGAGCATCGTTTAACCAAGCCCCATCCCCAGCGGCGTGGCCTGGCCCCACTGGCCGATTTACCCCCCTAGATGGGATATAGGTCGTTCCCTTCGGGTTTTTAGAGGTGTATCCCAAACTGGGGGGGGGGGGGGGTAATTTGGTGGGGGTCCCGAAGGGGATGAGGATGGGGATGGGGATGGGGATTGGTTGAACGAAACCGATTGTTCCCGCTGATCCGCAGGTGCTGCCGCCGCCCCCTGGAGTGAGCGCCTCCGCACGGCCTGAGCTTGCCTTTCCTGCGGCCCCCGCCGCGCAGGGCCTGCATGGTGTGCACCTCGTGGGAGGAGAGAAGCTCTGCGGATCTCAGTATCTCTTGGAGGGCAAACCAAGACCTCCTCGCGCTGTGAAAAAAACACCTAGAGGGCTTTTGCCATTCTCGGCTCTGGGGGCCCTTCCTGGGCCTCGGGATCGTCAAGAAACAACTCGGGAGGAAGAACTGGTCCCCAGGCAGGGGTCCAGGCTTCTGGGGGTCCTCGTAATGAAGATCTTCGGATTGCTATGAGCTTTGTGTGCCTGTCTTGGCTGGGTGCTGGAGCCCCCATGGCGGCGCCTCCCGCACCGCCCCCTGGTGCGCTGCGCGCGCCCGGGAGTGGCTTCGGGCGCCGACCTTAGGGAAAGGCGCGCGGAGGTCCGAAAGTGTAGACTCCTTTGGTTGTTCCTCCTGCAGTCAAACGGCCCTTATAAGGACGCGCGACTTTGCTCAGGGTACCCTTGCGTCCTTGCTCTTCCTTGCTCTTGCGTCCTTGAGGTTTTCGTCGCCCGCCGCCCCAGAAATCCCAACTGGGGCTTCCAAGGGTCTTGCGTCCTTGCCGCGCGCCCTTATTAGGGTTTTTGACTGTATGTCAGGGCGGCCGTTTCGATTTCGGGGGATAAGTGCTTGTTCTGTTTCGTTTCGGGGGACTGACGCGGGGACCGTTATTTTTCCCAGGTGTCGTTTTCAAAGCGTCGGCATCCTTTGGGGAGTTTTGGGAAGGGGCCCCCTCGAGATGCCCACTCCCTGGGGAGAGGGGGCATGTGCAGGACGGTGCGGGTGGCCCGCAAGTCGATCCCATACAGGTGTATGAGCCGAGCGTTCTGTCCTTCCACGAGCTTTGGCGGATTACTACCGAATTGTTGGCGGCGGATGGCAGCTGGCGCTGGAATTCAATCATGTTGTGCAAGAGGGTTGAGTTTGTCTCGGGCGATTCTGGCCAGTCCTGACCAGCAGAGCCCGAAGCCAGATGAAGGTTGAACCCAGCTGGTCAAGAATCGAGATTACTGCGATTAGAGGGTTTCGAGAGCGTTTGGGTGTCGCACATGCGCCTCGTGTTTCGAGGTCACCCTGCCCCCATGATTGTGCAAACCCTCTGGCGTCTCAGAGTAGGAGCCCCCCATCGCGGTGGCACGGCGGGCCCAATTCTTCGCGACATTCGCCGTGCACGCGCTGTGCGGAGCGTCTGGGCGCTCCGACTTGCCCCCTTCACTTTTTACTTGCTGTGCGGAAGCGACGCTGGGCTTCATGTTGCGCGAGTACTTTTTCTCATTCGTGGTCTTCGGCCGGCCACTCACAAGCAACGATGCGTGGGCCAAGTCTCCATCGCCACCACCACTGACCACGGGCGGCTGACCCATGGCAGTGGTCTGCTGGGCGTGGCCCGCGTCTCGCACAGCCGAGCACCACCGTAGGTCAGCCGCCGCCTGGTCGACAGCGGCGGTAGTGAGAACTTAGGCCCACCGGCAATGGCTGGGAGGCCCGTTCCCACGATCTTTGCCGGACTGCCCTTCTTCCAGTCCGGCCTTGAGGTTGCTGACACGTTCGAGCTTGTTTTGTCTTTAGATCGGGGGTGGACAGAACCCCGAACAGTGACACGTCGCTTAGTGAATTGTCCGCTTTCGGTTCTTAAGAGGGCGCCGTGGCCGTTATTTTCCAGGCTTGCGCCCGCCAGGTTTGGGCCTCGGGTCGTTTTCACTAAACCACGTTTTACTAAAGGGGGGTCTGTCCATCCCCGATTAGACTCTGGCAAGTTTACTTGCATGGACGGGGGGAGGGGCCTCAGCCTGAAGCAAGCCGCAAGCGACTCGCACGTGCGGGAGTCGAGCGAGTCGAAAGGCGCTTGCACGCTGGTACTCGTTGGAAGAGGGGCGGAGGGGGGGGCGGGGGAACGCCAGGCAAGTAAACTCGCCCGAGTCCAGCAGAAGCCAGGCTCCTGTACCGGAATTGATCGAGCATGTGGGCAAACGCCCAGGATGTGGAGTTCGTCGCGCACCCCTCGTTACCGATCTCCGCGCACCAATGTGCGACGGGCCGCGCGCAGCAGAGCGGGGCCAGATGCCCGCACGAGGTGGCGCGCGTTTTCTGCGCAAGGCTGGTGGGGCCGTCTGAACTCGACGGCGACCTTTCGGGGGTGGACAGCACCCCCAACGGTGACACGTCGATTAGTGAATCGTCCGTTTTCGGTTCTCGAGAGGGCGCCGCGGCCGTCATTTTCCAGGCTGGCGCCCGCCAGGTTTGGGCCTCGGGTCGTGTTCACTAGACCACGTTTTGCTAAGGGGAGGTCTGTCCATCCCCGAGCCTTGGCCCTGGGCTTCTGGGCCGGAATCGAGGCCTTTGAATGATCTGGCTTCGGCCCGTGGGCACGGTTCTCATTGCGGAGCGCTGGCAGGAGAGAGAGAGCCCGCCTGTCCCCGCACTTGCTGCCTCGCTGTCTCCTGTTGGCCGCGGGGGGTGGCCCCCCGCCATGGCCAGGCACAGTGAAGCGTCGACCCCCAGGAAGATATGGGAAAATTGATGGGAAGTGGGGGAAATACGAAAAAACCCAGGAAATATGTGAAAAGATGGGGGAATCCTGGGATTTGCGTGTGCATGTATTTGTGGGTCCCTGGGCCCCTTCCTGGACTCTGCCCGAAAAGCCTGGGCGGGAGGATGCCCGCGAGGGGTCTGGGGGGTCGGCTCCGAGCTGCTCCTGGCCGCAGGCCTTCCTCCGCGGGCAGCGTGCTCCCTGCTGCTCCTGTCGTGCTACAGTCGGGGCCCTGGAGAAGGAACCCTTCTCGTTGGGGAGGGGCTCGGTGTTCCTTGATTGTTTCACAGCTTGCCTTAGGTTTTTCCTCAGGCTTTCGATATGGAATCGAAGTTTAACTTATGGAAAATAGGGGCCTCGTTCTTTATGTAGGGTTCCTTAGGTCAGCGCCCCGACTGTACTGCTTCTCCGAGAGTGGTGACCTAGGCTTCCCCCTTCTGCCGCACCATTCCCTGCGCATCGCCCTGTCTCATCGTAAGTCGGGCATGCCCCTCTACAGGAGGAATCTGCAATGATAGTAAGCATTCGTATGATGACGTGTTTTTCCGTGCTCTTCAGACTATGTTTGATTATCGTTGGATTGTTCTTCGTTGTTCTTCCCAGATCCGCCGGTAGAAAGACGTGCCCGACCTAGGTCTAATCCCTCCCTCGTGGTTGGCGTCGGCCGTGCCGGAGCATCTTGCCTTCTCTGGCGCAGCGCGCCCGATGCGCACAGTGTTCTTCCGTGCGGTGTGTTCAGGTCAGGGCGTTGGGCGCAGCTTTCCAGACACCTCGGATGGGCGCGAGTGTTACAGCGCCGGTTTTAATGCATGCTCCGCGTGCGGATCATGTATTAAAAATGCAGGGAATCAGTATTAAAGGCAACGATGAGTTCATGCATAAACTTATTCATAAATTAATCATGTATTAACAATCCCATATGTTTCAACGTCATAGGCATTAAAAACTGCCCTGTACTGTGAATTTGGTTATGACTTCTTCTGCTGGATCTCCCGCGCGGTCCGCCCAGGGCGTCACCGTCGAGCCTCGAGGCGGAGATCCCAACCGCAGAATTGGAGCAGGTGCCTTCGAAGAACTGAGCCCAAATCTGTGGGCGGCATCGGCGTGTTTTGGACCTCGTCCAGGAAGTGTCTCGTGGATCGTTAGACCACTTCTGCGAGGTCCGTCGCTCTCCAGTGGCCGCCCAAATCTGTGTGCGGCATCGGCGTGTTTTAGACCTCGTCCAGGAAGTGTCTCGTTGATCGTTAGACCACTACGAGGTCCATCGCTCTCCAGTGGCCGTATCCTCGCGTCCTTGAGCTCGCCTGGACGGCTTCAGAGTTTAAAAACCGCTCGCTTTGTTTCTTGGGAAGCATACCGACCTACAACGTTTATGGAATTCTCATGTGCGAGAAGTGTTCGATGCCCAGACGTGTTTCCAAAACTTGTGTCGGAACATCGCCATTCAGTTTCGGAGTTCACAATACTTTGAGGTGTGTCTCTCAACCTCTGGGGGGGTTCAACCGAGGCGATCGCGTGGGAGTTCCTGAAGGAGCACGGCATAGATGCGTACTTGGTCGACGGTGGTCTCGAGGCGTGGGAGAAGGCTGGCCTACACACGCAGGTGCCCTCGTCTGTCCAGTGCGCAAGCGATTGCGGAAGTGTACGAGCAGGGGGATGGCAGAAGGCAAAGGCTTGGCATCGCTTGAACGTGTGCATTTTTCTCGGCGAGGACCATCGAGGAGTAGTTTGCTCACCTTACGAAAAACAAAAAAAACACGAAACCGAAAAATGCACAGGGAATGGACGTCCGAGCGAGGGCGGTCAGGGTCACATGAGTGGGGTGTGGAGGAGGATCGTGCGCAGAGCGAGCGGGGGGGGGGGGGGGAGGCGCAGGGCGCCCTTGCCACCGCCGACTCTGCTGCGCTTCGGCGGCTCCGGGGTCCTCCTGCTTGGCATCGCTCGGACGTGTGCATTTTATTCTCGGCGAGAACCAGCGAGGACCTTCCTGGACCATCGAGCAACAAAAACACGTACGGAACCGAAAAATGCACGGGACATGAACGTCCGAGCGATGGCCAGGTGTCGGGTGAGCAGACGCTTCAGCGTTTGTGGGCAGTGCTGCAGCTGTGCCCAACAGGATGACCTGCTGCACATCTGCCCATCGTGTACCAGACACCTTCCGCGCCCGTGGCATCTCCAGCACCACGCATCACATACCACACGTACATGTACGCAGTCGTGGCTGTCCTGGGTGGTTTGCATCGTCACTGCTGGTTGCCATGCATGTTGTTTCGTACTGCTACTCACGCTTCTGCTCCGCACCCGTATGAGAGTCGCGTGTGCCCTCTCGGCAGCGTCAAGTCCGAACCGCCCTCGACGCGGATGGTGATCCCGATCATCGCTTTTGGAGCGCAGCGAGCCTGCTCAGTCTAGCCTTGCGGCCCCCACCCGACAGCGGATACACGCTGCCCCTCCCAGTTGACGTGCGGGCCGTCTCTGTGGCGCTCGTGTGCGACATTGGTTGCCAACATCGGCTGCAAGCGCAGGCGGCGAACTGGAGTTCACATCAGGCTGCAGCTGCAATCACAGTCGGAGCGCTGGAGAAGGAACCCTTTTCGTTGGGAAGGGGCTCGGTGTTCCTTGATTGTTTCAAAGTTTGCCTCGGGTTTTCCTGAGGTTTTCCATGGGAAATCGAGGTTGAACTTAAGGGAAAAAGGGGCCTCGTTCCTTATTTAGGGTTCCTTAGGTCAACGCTTCGACTGTACAGATGCCAAGCAGACGGCGCCGCCACGCCGTACGGCGGATGTGGCGGCCAGGAGCGCTCCGTGAGCTGGGGCGGACTGTATGTCACCCGCGCCCCCGTGAAAGCGCACCGGAGGACACACGACTGCTCCGCTGTCTGCCTGAAGTCGGGCCTGTCCCTCTACAGGAGGAACTTTCAAACATAGTCAAAACATACTCCGGGGACGATGTGTTGTGCATGTGTCACTATGTTTGAATATTGTTGGCGTATCTTTAATGTTCCGTCCAATATTCGCCTGCAGGGGGACATGCCCGACCTGATGCTTGCCGCCTGCAGCCGTCGAGACCCTGGCTTCTCTATTCGATAGTCCCACTGTTTGCCAATGACGAACGGACAACACACACCCGTACCCATAGGGGGGTCGGCGAGAGGCGGCGGGAGGAGGACTTGCTATGGGTATGGGTGCGGGTTGTCGGACCGCGGGGGAGGCTCCCGTTCGAGCGGGGACCCCCGTCCGGCAACACGCACCCATAGCCCCCTCCGTCCTCCCTATGGGTATGGGTGCGCGCTGTTTGTTTGCCAAGGGTCAGGAGCGAAAGAAGGACGTACCTGTACATGAATCCACGCTGATCCCGAGAATACGTACTGCGCAAATGTTCGTATCACGCGGCCGGTCTCACGGATCCAGGGGCCGTGTGTTCATGCACATAGCTGGGCGCGTACGCCCTTTGTGGGCTCCCTGAAGGGAGGCCACGAAGGGCTCGCGGGGCCGCCCCTGCGAGAGCCGACTCGTCGTGGGCTGCGCTTCGTGGCCCCGCAGGGCCGCGGAGCGGCCGGCGCCGGCTCTCGCGGCCAGTCGTCGTCCTGCGGCCCCTGGCGCTCGCGAGCGAGGTCGCAGGGCCTCTGTCGGGAGGGGGAAGAGCACACAGACACAGTGGATCCTCGACGCCCCAGAGAAAGATATGGGAAGATGTGGGGAGTGAGGGGGGAGACAGGCACCCAGGAGATGCGGGAAAGTGTGGGGAGTCTTTTTATTTGTGTCGATTTGTTTGTGTGTCCCAGTGCCCCTTCACTTTGGACGGCGCGATCTCAGGCTGGGAGCTCGATCCCCGCCAATCGAGGAGCGGCAGAGCGGCGTAAGCGTAAACGTTCGGAGCTCCCCGCGCGGATTCCTCGGCCCGTCGATGGGGCACCCTGGCGGCGCCTCCAGCGTCGCCCCCGGCGCGCTCCGCGCGCCATGGAGGGGGGCAGACGAACGCAGAAAACCGTACCACAGGGTTTTGGGAGGTAATGAATATATCTGCGCCGGTGGAGGTAAGCCGCCCCCCTGGGGACTCGCTGCCTGAGGCAGGCCTCGTGTCCAAGCGCTGCCTGGCTTCAAGGGGATCTGTCGAGCGATTCCGATGTGTGACAAAGTAGAGAGGAAAGTTCGAGAAGTCCTCAACTCGGAAGCGTAGTGCGGTTGTTAGACGATGAGCCCACCCGTGTTCCGACGGCGCACGTTCGACCTGGGTGCTTAAGTCAATTCCACACGCCCCGCTTTACGAAAGGGGGGAGGTCTTCTCCCGCCTCTTCTCGGGGGCGGCCAACAGGGGTGTGATGACTAGAGGGGGTGGATATCATGGCGGGGGCCATGATATCTCCCCAGATTTCATGGCGCGTCTTCTGATGTTATTAAGTCCCTGGCCCCCCCCCTGGCCCGCGCACATGCCGACGGCCATGACTTGCGCCCCCCCCTCTTGGACGGACCCGATATTCTTCTTATTCTTCTTCTTCTTCTTCTTCTTCTTCGCTTGTTGTTCCTCGGCCTCCACCTTCTTTGCTTGGCCAGCCGTATTCGCCGCTCTGGGGATCGACGGTCTATCAGTTTGCGGCGGTCTCATTCGCCCGCCGTTCCCGCGAAGGCCTTGCTTCGCCTTGTCTTAAGCACGGGGATATGTTCTTCCACATTGGTTGGCGGGGCCCAGGGCCCAGAGATACACTTTGTGACCACCACACGTCTTCGAAGCTGTCTCGGCCTCCATCCTCGGTGTGGCTCGGCGAAGCGGCTTCAGGCCATGAAGTTCCACCAGTACGACCTCACGCCGCGCCGAAAGCCCGGCCGCAGGTAGCAGCGAGGGGAGGTCGCGGCATCTGCCCAGGAGACCAGCATGGGGCCGATCGAAGGGTTGGGGACAGGACGCCGCTTCACAGCCGGTTTCATTTATCCTGCAAGTAATTACCATTGGTTGATCGACGAGCGAAGGCCTGCATTGATTTCGATTCGCTGAGCGTACGGTGGGTTCGTGTCGTGTCGACAGGCGGCGACCCCGCCGCCGGCGATCAATGCTGAACGTCGCGGGCGACCCAGATTCGTTCGATGTGGAGCGATTTGGACGTTTCGGAAACGGCCGATCGTTCAGGGTTGAACTATCCCCGCGGTGTCAGAAACCAACGCCGAAGTCGGCACGACACAAGCCTGACGTATCTTTGCTTCGGGATCGGGTCGAGCCTTTCTGTAGCTCAGACTGGTTCGGCATAGTTCGATTCCGGCTGACAGGGTCCACAATTTGCTAGACATGGTGGATGCAACCTAGCGCTTAGCATATTGTTTCTGGCTTCTTCGAACCATTGGGTGTGCTTAGCATGGCCTCAGTGGCTTGAATTCCAGAGAAACGATTCGGATCAGATTGGGTGTGATTATAGAGGCGTAGCTTGATTGGGATATATTCGGATTGGCCTGAGTTGTGAATGTGTTGGCCTGTACCGTTCTCGAGCAGCACCGCGACTAGGTAGTTTACGCTCAGTGGTCTCCGCTTTCAGCGTCAAGAGATCCAGGTCTGGTGTTGGTGCTCGCTCAACGTATGGCTCACTCTCTTAGTTTGAGACAGCGAATTGACATGTTACCTCGAGCTCGCGGTGGAGCTTATGATCGAGATCGAGCTTACGCCTGAATTTGATATTGAGCGTAGACTTGCGTTGCGTAAGTGATGAATCATTCCCGCTCGTGCTCAACTCGGATTGCCCTGATTCGCTGTAAGGGCACCGCAACGGGACTCGATTCGCCAGACCTCCATCCTACGTAACGACACGAAACCACGGCTCATCGCGGTGACATTATTTAGCACGCATATCAAGCACGATACGAGACACGAGGAGCGATTTCCCAACGGGGACGGCCTCATAGAGGTACTCGCACCCCCGACCTCCGAGTCCCCTAGCAATCCTACCCTGGCACGTGCCGCTCTCTTGAAGTCTGTGCTCGGGGCGCTTAGAGGTCCCAATCTACGCTCTGCGCTGAGCCCCCTCACCTCTGCAGTCAAAGGGGCCCTCTCCTGCCTCTCTTCTCGGGGTGTGGACCCAAGCCCAACCTACATCGACAGCCTTCCTGCTTCGTGCTTCTGCTCACCTCATCCGAGCGGCCTGTATCACAGTCCGCCTCCCCTCATTCTCTTGGAGGCCTGGAGACAGGCGCCAACACCACGGCAGGGGGGGATCCACCAGGGAAAGTGGATCCTATACTTCGGCGTCGGTGGTACCGTGTTGCCCATCTGGGAAGCCCGACGATTTGCCACCAGCACCGAGATCGGGATCATCTTCCTTCGGTGGAGGCAACAGCCGATATTGTGTTGGTGCCAACCTCTGAGCTTCCTATCATCCACTCAATCCCGCCCTCCTCTTTGGGACGAGGGCATCTGTTCGACCACCCCCCCCCCCCGAGCGAGCCGCGCCATCGGGGGACGCAGCCGGCCACTCGCCAGTAGGCCGGCGACCAGCCGGCGATTGCTGTGCAGTCGGGTGCGCCCCGCCGGCGAACCGGCCCCTGCCGGCACTTGCGCGCCGCGGCGACACGGAGGGGTGGGCCTTCGCCGGGTGCCCCTCGGTGCTGGGCCATTGTCGACTAGACGTAAGAGTGACCTTTCGCCGGAGTGACCTTTGGTGCGGGCCCAATGGGTTCCCCTGGTCGCCGAACGCGATGCGATAGTAGCGTCTTGCGCGCTTGTGTTTGGTTCCCCCCGCGGTCCCCAAAAAGCCGCGCACCAAAGGTCACCCTTACCCAGGGTCACTCTTGCGTGTAGTCGACATTGTTGGGGGGGCTGCCAGGGCGCAGGGGCAACGCTGGGGGAGAAGAGACACAGGGCGGGGCGCACCGGCCCCCCGAATCGCCCTCTGCTCGCCGATGGGGGCTCGGTGGCCCAGACCGCCCAGGAACGTGCGGCCTCGCAGTGTGGGGCCATCGCTGATCTGTCGGCGACTCATCGCCAAAGCCAGGTCGAGGTCTCCTCTCCCCCTCGAGCTGGTCCCCCCCTCCCACCGTTCTCTCCTTCCCCGGGGCACCTGCAGGGAACAGGGGACTGCAGGGGCCTGCAGGGGCCTGCAGGGGCCGCACTTGGGGGGGGCCGCCCCGCCGCCGTCCTGCCCCCCCTCCCCCCAGAACGCAGCGCAGCCGAGGGCACCCTTCCCCTCCTCCTCCTCCTCCTCCTCCTCCTCCTCCTCCTCTTCCTCCTCCTCCTCCTCCTCCTCCTCCTCCTCCTCCCCCCCCAGAACGCAGCGCAGCCGAGGGCACCCTTGCAAGAAAAAGGCCGCCCTCGTGCCCAGGCACCCGACGCTGTGATTTTTGCAGGGCGCGGCCCCAGAGGTCCCGACCGCTGGAGGAGGGAGGAGGGAGGCGGGAGGAGGGAGGAGGGAGGAGGGAGGAGGGAGGCGGGAGGAGGGAGGAGGGAGGAGGCTCCAGGGGTGTTGTTTCGTTCGCCCTGGATCCCCGTTGCCTTGCCCCGCGGTCCGATGCCGGGCCCCGGAAGCCCGAGTCGAAGGAAACCGCCTGGCTTGAACACGGCATAGCTTTGGAGAGTCTGGGCGCCCGTGCGCTGTGGCCGAGGGGCTGCCTGCCCGGGCGCTCGGCTCCATGGCCGCACCGCCCGCCCCGCCCGCGGCTTGCCTCGCCCGAACGCCGCGGCGCGGGGCGGGATTCCCCTCCTCCTCCTCCTTCTCCTCCTCCTCCTCCTCCTCCTCCTCCTCCTCCTCCTCCTCCCTCCCCCCCTCCCCCCCTCCCCCCTCCTCCCCCTCCTCCTCCTCCTCCTCCTCCTCCTCCTCCTCCTCCTGCTCCTGCTCCTCCTCCTCCTCCTCCTCCTCCTGCTCTCCTCCTCCTCCTCCTCCTCCTCTCCTCCTCCTCCTCCTCCTTCTCCTCCTCCTCCTCCTCCTCCTCCTCCTCCTCCTCCTCCTCCTCCTCCTCCTCCCCCCCCGGGTCTGGTAGGTGGCCCAGGCAGCCCAAGCTATGCGGCCGAAGTGCGCCCTGGGTCTCTTGGTTCCGACCGAGTTGGCGATGAGGGCGCCGGGGTCCTCGGTGCCTGAATCCCGAGCGACATCCTGCGGCCTCAGGCCCTGGGTTTCTCGCGGAGGCCTCGCATGGCCGGAGTCCTAAACTGCAGGTGCGGTCGGAAGGTCGCGCCGCGCTGCCGCGTGCACTGGCGGCGGCAGCATGATTCAGGGGCGGTCTGGCCGACCCCTGGCAAACCGTCCCCTTCCGTGACGTCCCCCGCGCCTCGCCCCAAGGCGTCCGTATGCGGCCTGAGGGGAGCTCGAGGGGCGAGGGCGACGTCACGGAATGGGACGGCTTGTTAGTTGAGCAGGGGCCGACCGCCCCGGCATTCCAATAGGCCTACCACGAATTGTTCTTAGAACCCCAAAGTGTTCCAATAACAAAAAAACAGTGCGACCCGACCTAGAAGTTGGAGCCTCTAGGACAGCAGCATTAGTAATTGTGCTATGCTATGCTATGTTATGTCATGATATGCTGCGCTATGCTACGCTATGATATGATGCGCTATGCTATGATATGACATGCTAAGCTAAACTATGATATGACATGTCATGCTGCGCTGTGCTATGCTAAGATATGGTATGCGATGCTATGATAAGCTGCGCTATGCTATGATATGCTGTGCTATGCTATGTTATGTTATGCTTGGCGATGGTATGCTATGCTGGGCTACGCTATGGTATGCTATGTTACGGAAGGCACTGCTTGCGGGGGCTCTGGTCCGGCCATCGAGGCTAGTTCGGCATCTGTCGCGCATTGCGTTTGGTTTGCCTTTCCTTTGTGTTGCTGTTGCTGTTGTTTTGCTTTGCGTTGCTTGTGCTTTGCTTTGTTGTCCCTGCTGTTGCTTTGCCTTTGCTTTGCTGCTATGCTCTGCTATACTATGCTATGCTGCGCTGTGCTATGCTGTGCTGCGCTATGCGATGCTTTGCTATGCTATGCTGCGCTATGCTATGCTATGCTGGGCTATGCTATGATATGCTGTGCTGCGCTATGCTACGCTATGCTATGCTATGCTATGCGGTGCTCTGATATGCTAAAGCTCAACGAAGCTAAGATGAAGGTAAGCTCAGCTAAGATAAACCTGAGGTAAGATGAAGCTAAGCTAAGCTAAGATGAAATAAGCTAAGCTAAGATGAGATAAGCAACGCTAAGCTAAGGGGACGTAGCTGGGGGAACCGCGGGGCGGATCCTCGGGGAACCTCACGGGCCGGTTCCCACTGCCCGGCCCCTTTCAGCACAGAGAGTAAGAACCCTTCTAGGCAGAGCCTAGGTAGGGAACAATGTTCTCAGAGCAGAAACCCAATGTGGTAAGACAAGACAGCCCCAGCCAGAACTGTTCGAAGAACGTGCCGTGGAAACCACGAAAGGTTCTCTCAGAACATGGTTTGGTAGGCCTAGAGGCACGCCAGGACGCTTCGCCACTGCTTGAGCTCGGTGCCGGCGAGGCCGCGCCCGAAGGATGCGGATGCCGATGCTGTTCATCACCCCGACGTCGCCGATGCACTCGCTGCCGGTGCATCAGCGGTGTGGTCTTAAGTCGGGCCTGCCCCTCTACAGGAGAAATATCCAGAAAGAGTCAAAACATACGGACGATGTTTGGAGCATTTCTCTGCTCTTTGGGAGTATGTTGGTGGGTATGTTTGCCTTGCTCGTCCAAGATCCGCCTGCAGGGGGACATGCCTGACCTGATGCGAGGGGCCGGCGAGGCCGCGCCCGAAGGATGCGGATGCCGATGCTGCTCTCCACCGCAGGAGGAGGAGGAGGAGGAGGAGGAGGAGGAGGAGGAGGAGGAGGAGGAGAGGGAGGAGGAGAGGGAGGAGAGAGAGGGAGGAGGAGGAGAGGGAGGAGAGGAGGAGAGGAGGAGAGGAGGAGGAGGGAGGAGGAGGAGAGGAGGGGAGGAGGAGGAGGAGGAGGAGGGGAGGAGTGGCTGCCTGGGCCACCTACCAGACCCGGGGGGGGAGGAGGAGGAGGAGGGAGGGAGGAGGAGGGAGGAGGATGAGGAGGATGCGTCGCCGCTGCATTCCGCGGCCGGTGCATCCAGCGGTGTGGGGGGGGGGGGGGGGGGGGGGGGGGGGGGGGGGGCTGCTCTCTGGCGCCATCCTCCGGGCGGGCTGCGGAGAGCGGGTGCCCGGGCGGCTCGCCCCTCCTCGAGCTCGAGGGAACGTTCGCCATTCCTTTTAAGAACCATGCTTTTGGTGGGCCTGCTTTCCACCTCCACCGCCAGAAGTTGGAGGGGGAGGGGGTCCTCCTCCTCCTCCTCCTCCTCCTCCTCCTTCTCCTCCTCCTCTTCCTCCTCCTCCTCCTCCTCCTCCTCCTCCTCCTCCTCCACCTCCACCTCCTCCTCCTCATCTTCGTCCTCCGCCTCCTCCTCCTCCTCCACCTCCGTCCCCCCTCCAACTTATGGTGGTGGTGGTGGTGGAAAACAGGCCCATCAATGCTCAGTATCGTTGAACCGATCCCTGTCCCCATCTCTATCCCCCGATCCTGCGCCCACCATCGCGCTGCCCCAGTCGGGAGTCTGCGAAGGCAGCCCCGAAGATCACAGCCCCTGCCCCCTATCTAGGGGGGTAGGTCGGCCAGTGGGGCGCAGGCCACGCCCGTGGGCATAGGGATCGGTGAAGCAATGCTCACACACGCGCCGATGGAGGATGCAGCTGGAGCGGACGGGCTGGAGCGGACGGATATTGCGGAGCGGAAAAGACCGCCCGGGCCCCGCCGCGCTGCCGTGCAGATTTGCGCTGCCGCTCTGGGTACGCACGGAGGCTCGGGGGTGCGGGGCGGCGGGCGCCGATTGCCCAGAATACGCGGAGGTAAAAAAAAACACAACGCGGTTCGTAATCGCTTTGTGACGGCGAGGGGTCCACGAATGGCCACCTCCGCCCACGACGGGGGGCGAGAGGGCTTCGCTGTACGTCGGGCCTGTTCCTCCACAGAAGATTCAAAAATAGTCGCAAAAAAAAGAGTCTGGGGACGATTTGTTTGCATATGTTGTTGACTATGTTGGAGTAGGTCTTGACTATTTTGCACTTTTCGCCTAAACCCCGCCTGTAGGAGGACATGCCCGACCTAAAGCTTTGCTGCAGGGGTGCCCTCGCGATGTCGGCCGCACTTCGACCAGACTCGGAGGCGGAGAAAGGAGCAGGAGGAGGACGAGGAGGAGGAGGAGGACGAGGAGGAGGAGGAGGAGGAGGAGGAGAAGGAGGAGGAGGAGAAGGAGGAGGAGGAGAAGGAGGAGGAGGAAGAGTCTGCATCGGCCCGAGTCTGCAGGCGTTGCTCCTCGTGCTCCTCGTGCCCCAGGCGCTGCCGCAGCGGCGGCAGAGCGAGCGGCGCTGCCGAAGTCCGCTCCACACGTCGATGTTTCTGGGCAGAGGATGCTCGTTTCGGGGGCCTTCCTGGAGCCCACCTACCGTACCTGTTCGACCCCAGCTCGACTCCAGTTCGGCT